TGTCTTTGAGAGATATTATTTTGTAATGTAACTTAATTTTCTATCCATACATATAAATTTTAAATATATTAAAATTATAAGGCATCTTTGAGTAAACTGCGAGTATCATTTAAGTAGGCTATGTCATGGCCGGCCAAATGTGCCGAATGTTTTTGGAAATCAAAATATGGTCACCCTATGTAAACTGTTGACAGGAACCCTGAAATGCCAACAGGGCCAATTATGTCTCTATTATCAATTTTTGATCACTGGAGGTTTTATATTTGTAAAACGTTCCTCGAGTTGGGGAAAATCATTATAAAAATCTGGGTTGTCATCACAATTAAAGGGCCAGTGTGTAAAATGGGTTGAAAACAGTGACATCAGTGGTCAAATTCTAGATTGCAGGTCTCACTCGCTCACCCCTCCCGTCGGGTAAATGACGGTGGCCTCGTAGGGACAAAAAGCCTTGCGCACGAGTTTTTCAGGAGTAGGTCTATCTAGCGACAAGGTGAATGTTTATTTAGAAATCTAAGCCATGTTACGATATTGTAATGAATCCCTCATGAGCAGGAGACCAGAGGAGCATTCGGGAAAAAGGCCCGTTTATTTGAGCACTCCAGAAACTCTGGTAACACTCCAGGGGGTAAAAGACTCCGTCCCAAACTCTGACTCTTCTAGCGTAACACACACACTTCATAACTTTACACACATACTTGTTTACCATTCAGAGTGGGGACCCCCCTCCCCTCTCTGCTCCACCAATCTCCAGCCCGCACACTGACTGACAGCGTAGCCGGTAAACAGAGCTCAGCTGTTTATTTAGCCTAGCGATATCTCCGGACTATAGTAGCTGCAATGGACGACTTTGAACGCGATTTTGAAGAGTTTCTTGTAGCGGACACAGACCCAGAGCCATACCTGTTTGAGCCGGAGCATACAGACGAGGAACTCCATGTGTTTGATGCTGAGTGGGCGAGAAGAGAGGCTGAATGCACAGAATGGGATTCGGTGCTACTGCTACCATCGTTGGGGAGATATATCATCAGGAGGAAAAGCGCCGCAGAGAGTGCATCACAAGGAGTGAAGTTGCGTCTTCTTTTCCTCGCAGATGACGGTTCGGGTTCATTCTCTCCTGTTGCGTGGAAAGTGTGGTCCATTCGCAAACTTTCTAACTAAAAAAACTTTTCACTACTCTCTATCGACGAACTACTAACACTCTCTGCTGTTTCCTCCTCCTTCTTCCTTCCTTCCGCTGTCTTCTTTGGTTCATTTATACACGCGAAACGCGTTCTCTGGCTGGCTGGATTGTCCACTCGGGCTGCCTTACATACATGGCGGCGCAAGATGGCGACCTCTCTAAAGCAAGGCCCTTGCTATATATATATATACATATATATATAAAAGCATAATTATAAGGCTACGAAAACCAAACGAATTTTATTTTATAGCGATTATACACTTGTATAAACATATTAATGGGTAGAATATTCAGATTCAGATTCAGATTGACAATAAACCATGCCAAATATTACACACTGGCCCTTTAAGTCGAGCTGAGTGGAAACTCACGGGCAAGTCCAGCAGGAGCAACACCACGGCACAAATTCAGTGGGCCGCATGCCACAGAAGTAAGCCTGGAAGCTACAAACTTTTTTTGGCGTATGCAGCTCCACTGGAATGAATAGGTGCCCTCTTGGCAGCCAGTATCTAGGTAGGCTATATGTGAATAACACAGTACCACAGCTAGACACAAAAACATTATTGGTTGACACTTTAAAAAAGTTGAGGTCAGCTACATTTTGATTTGTAGCGTGTCACACCTGTCGCAGCAACAAGTGTCAGGTGTCAGTTTGTGGCTCCATGTCATCAGCTTCCATTACAAATGACGGGTAGTCTGTTGATGTGTTGCTCGTAGTGTGAACACAGCATTAGCCTAGTGCCTACACTGGTTGCCTAGTAACCTCACAGTTACATTTAGTGGCTAACTTTTACAGATTTGTTTACCTTTGGAGAGAGCCAGGCTAGATGCTTCGCTCTGTTCCCAGTTTTACACTATTGCTATCCAGCCACTGGTTGTAGGCCTATCTTCACATTTACCAGAAAGACATGTTGTTATGTCACCTGACCCAACTCTTGGCAAGAACTCATGCTTTAAGAGGTCACAAGCCAAAAACGTTTGGAATCACTGGCCACTCCACCCATTAACGTTCCTCCTGCTGTTGTCCCTATAGATAGGCGACAGTCTGCATCAATCCTGGTTTTCTTCAGCATTTCATCTTCAGCATTCTTTCCAGTGTTTGAGGCTCAACGTTTTTGGTATTGTTTTACACTCTGTTGAACACATATGCAAAGAGAGACGATTCCCCTGCAGGAAAAACTGTTGCCCAACACAGTTCAAACCACACCCTTTCCTCTTTTCTCCGTCTGTTGACAGCAATCGAGGGACTATGATTATCAACATTTTGAAAATATAGAAATGTATTGATGAATAATGGAGAAATAATAGAAGAAGTACTTATGTGTGCACTCACTCTTAAAAAGTTTGCAGCCCCCCTCAGCTGTGCCATTTTCCTCTCTGAATTCAGCACTCTGTCTGCAATTTCCTGTTTAGTCCGCTCCAGTTGTTTCTGTTAAAACACAAATCCAGCTGCTTTACAGAGCCTCAGTGACATTAAAAGGACAGTCAACAAATAACTTCAGCATGGGGCTGAACTTACAAACCTGCATATCACACTTTTCTGCTGCCACTGCCACCGTATCATGGCCTCTGTGTTCATCCATCACACACAGCAGGCATATGAACTGCTGATCCGTGCGGCAGTAGATCTCCAGAAGTTTGTCATGACTAACACAGATGCTTTCTTTGACTCTTGCAGAGGCTTTAATCAGACTGTGTTTTTTTAGCGGTGGCACCTCAAAGTGAGGCTTCAGATGGATCTCACAGTACGAAGCCAAACACACGAGACAGAACATGGAAGCTTTTCTTTTTCTTTCTGTGCAAGCATCACATTGCACATCACCAGGTGCAGCAAAGGTGTCATCATCCTCAGCAGCAGCAGCAGCAGCAGCAGCATTTTGATTTTTTGTCCCTTTGTGTGCCTCCAACAGCTCAGCCAGAAGTGTGTTCCTCTTCAGAACAGGCCTCGCCTTGAAGGTCTGCCTGCACTGAGGGCAGCTGTAACTCCTTCCTTTGTTATTATGTACATCCCAGAAGCCATAGATGCAGTTCATACAGTAACTGTGTCCACAGGCCGTCGTCACTGGATCCTCCAGTAGCTGTAAACAAATGGAGCAGTCGAACAATTCCTGACTATAGGCCATTTTCCTCTGCTCAGACTGACGGAGTTAGTTTCATTTTCCCTGACGGAGGAGTGGCTTGTTGGCAGCTTGCTCTCAGTGACACAAATGTTGCCTGTGCTGACTGGTCTGTGTGTGTGTTAGTGCAGAGCAAAGTGCATGACCGCATTATCAGATAGTCAAACATTAGCTGCATGTGGTTTCAAATTCTGCTTGTGTCAAAGTAGCCTTGTAATCTGTAGTTATTTTTAAACACACATTAAAAAAGAGAGTTTATCATAAAGTTCTGAAGAAAGTTCAGTTTCAGCAGTTGGTGGAAACAAGATAGTGCTAAAAGTAAAGTGAATATTGGACTTAAACTCATAAGGTGGCTGGAAACATGATAAATAAATGCTAATGTTGGTCCTTGTCTGCTGGATGTGTAAAGAGCTAACTGTTACAGTAGCTAACACACTGAGTGTGTAAATGTGTTACTGCAACTTTAGGCACATTTCATGTCATGTCAGCACATGACCTGATTAAAGGATTACATTTACAAAACTTAGTTAACCCCCAGTGTGTAGGATATGAAAATGTATTTATTTGGTACCATCAGGTCATAGCAGTAACACAGAAAATGTGGTAGACAACACAGCACGCTGATGCACCCTGACTAACCAACAGATATGGATTCCTAATAAATGTACTTATTTGCTAGAAGCACAACTAGTGTGCCTCACATGGGCCCATACTAATGCTGCCATAAGTATTTGGATTGACAAAACATATAATTTATCCTTATTAAACTATACACCAGGACATTTCCAGGGTATAAAATTATGAAGCAAACAAGCAATCACTGCTTATTTTTGCATGCTGATTTACTGTGCAATACCTCCATGTTCATACCATTATTTGCATTATTCAGTTACTTAGAATGAACAGGCCAGCTGCCAGAAGATTATGTTGACATTGTACATTTCTGCAAACCATGATTATGTTACATTTGCAGGTTTCATATGTATCATATCAACATTTCTAAAGTGGTGTATTAAATCAGCTGACTTTGTCATCAGGAGGCTGAGGAGATGGCGGATGGCAGTTGATGGCATTTTACATCGTATAAATTAGCCTCGTGGCTAGCAGACCTCTACTCATATGAAGTCAGGAACGACAGCAACATTTAACAAATGTAACGTATCAAAATTTGGTTCCATTACAGCTCACAAGGTCCCCCGACAAAACTGTCTTATGTTAAACATGTTTTTCAAACAAATACAACATGCTAATATTATTAGCATAAGCCTGTAGCATTTAACACTGTATAAATTAGCCTAGCAAGTAGCGGAGATTTCCTCTACTCATATGAAGCCAGGATAAATCACACACAAGATTTAAAATGCTATTTTGTGGAGGCCTTTCTGTCTTCACAACTAATTGGTTCTTATCTGTGAAATTAAATTAAACAAAAGCTTTGTTTCCACTGAGGGAAATGGTGTGGTTACACGTGTGGTTACATATCTGGGGAGGTGTAGTGTACGGCGTAGGCTCTACGTCGACACAGAGCCTATGCCGTAGATACAATCTTGATTCAACGCAGAAGTATAAATCCCATACGCTCTACACAGAGCTGACACACAAGTACTATAAGTCCCAATTAACCTCTTCAAGACGCCTGTCAAGCTGCAGACCAGTGTTCAAGACCAACAAACAAAACCAGTTGTGATTTTGCAAGTCCTGGGCTGTGTTTTCAGCAGCTTTTTAGGCGCCAGATATGGGTGTTTGTAGAATAGTGGCATGAAAACCAGTTGTTTTTTTACAGGTACAGTATTGCCTTTCCAGCAAGGATTGGAATCATGTGCAAATGTAATCCATGGTTTGCAGAAACATACAATGCCAACCTTTTTTTCTGGTAACTGGGTAAAACTATTTACGTAACACTGAATGTTTAAAGATTGTATTAACATAATAAACACATAGCAAGGCTTCTGTTATGAACATTTGTATATCTATTTACTAACAATCACGAGTAATAAAATGCTGAATTTACAGTTTAAATTGAGTAATTACAGGATGAGAAACATGTAAGATACACACAGAAACCTCACCTTTTTATCTTCAGCATTTTGCTTGCAAATAAAACATTTTACAGATTATAATCAAACAATAAGCAACGATCACAAGGCAACACTTGACTGGACTGAACGCCCCTTTAACACTACTGGTATTTAAAGAATGACCAAACTGTAATACTGACGTGTCACTTGGGCAACCTTGACAGTGGATGCCTTTTACTTTGGTGACATTATCCTGACTGAGGCCCCTTTGGAGACCATGAACCCAGGGTACAGAGGCTGGGAAAATGTGGTGTGAACTCTGTGAAGGAGCATCATTTGACCAGATTCAGACACGCTGTAGAAGGACAGGCTCCCTACCTTATGGTTCAGATACACTCCTACGGTAGAGGAGCAATGGTTGGATATTTTGGTTGGGCTTCCACCGTGCCAAAAGGTGCAACCTGTATTTGAAAGGGAAATGCACCAGGACTGAACTGTGTATCCAAAGCCACTTTCATCCAGCTCTGCCCCTTTGTAGCACACAGCGACCTCAACCCTGGACCCCCGCCACTCAACCTCCCAGTAGCAAACTCCAGATAAACCTTCGGAGCACAACACTTGGTCATATTTGGTGAATCTCTCTGGGTGGTATGGATACTTCTGGGCTTTCTTTATCCAGGTTACTTTGCTGTTTCCCTCAGAGAGCAAAAGGTTTTCAAATGCTGTGTTGGGATCCAAACTGAGGTGGCAGGAATCTGAAATGTAGAAGTTATAATAATTCAGTGGCAGGCGTGACATACATTGAAAGGAAAGCACTTGGAAAATATAAATGACTCACAAAGGGAGAACTCCTGTCTTGTCTTAGGATCAGAATCAGCTTGAACTAAAACAGAAAACATGATGAGAACATTTTGGTCAATGTTGTCATTGTTGCATAACTCCAGTCAGGAAACATAAATTATTTGGTGTTTTCTTACTTGTCTCAGATATCTCGGCAATCGCTTTGGACATGTTTTCCATTTCGTCTCTCGCATTAGAAATAGCCTTTGTCACAAAGTCAAAAGGTGTGTGTAGATGGATGTTCAAATCAGAGGACATGTCAGGTTCTGGACCGTCGAAGATGGACTGGCAGTGCTAGAAACACGTAAAAGAGAAACACAATTTAAGTTTAAAAAAGGCTAAAAAATAAGGATTGCCCAATTACCTGGGGCAAGTAAAATGCCACAGTGGACTAGTAAATCTAGCTACTCATTTGCCACATCAGGCAGGTGGTAAAAAAGAATGAAACCCTTTTTTACGTTTAAGTTTAAGTTTATTTACTTTATTAATCCCCCTGAGGGGAAATTCAATGTTTTCACTCTTGCTTGTCAATTACACACAGGTCCGAAAGACACACACATGCACAAACAGGACCTATACATGCACAAAGTGGAGAGATGTCAGAGTGAGGGGGCTGCCCTTGGTGAGGCGCCCCGAGCGGTTGGGGGACTCAGTGCCTTGCTCAAGGGCACCTCGGCAGTGCCCAGGAGGTGAACTGGCACCTCTCCAGCCACCAGTCCACGCTCCATATCGAACAGGCGACCCTCCGGTTCCCAACCCAAGTCCCTATGGACTGAGCTACTGCCGGAGCTGATGATGGAAGTAGCGGAGGAGTGGGCCATCTTGCTTCCCTCTCATTTTTGTTGAAAGATGCATAAATGCTCTACTGATCGGGCACTCGCATGAAAATTGGAGCAGGTAAAGATAAAGTTTATGAGCTGAAGCCCAACTGAGCATTTCAATTATCCTGGAAACAGGGGTTTTGCTTGGCAGCCTTATGCCCCTTTTCGACAGTCATGGGCTGGCCTGGTTTGGGCCGTCAGCCCAGCACAGCAGGGATTTGCATTTCCATTACAACAGAACTACCTTTTTGAAGGTGTGTCTTTAACTAATGAAGTCTTGTCTTAAGTGATGAAGTTTATGTGATGTGTGTTTTTCCACAGCAGGGCAGGTAAAAGAAATTTACCTGTTGGAGGTGTTTGCAGAGATGCAGTAAGAGCCTGTTGTCTGCAGCTCTTCATCAACATTTCACTGTGGCTGTTTCTGCTTTCACTTTCCTCCCTGCTGTATTATTAGACTTGTCCTTATTGAAGAAAATCCTCCAACAAAGTTCTGCTAAGTCAGTAATAACACTTTTCATTTCCTATAGATTCTGCACAATGAAAGGCCCATGTTATTTTGGTATGTATAAACTTAAATAAAGCAGATATTGAAAGTAAAAACAGGATGCAGGAGAGAAACTAAATCCCAAACCACAGAAATTCAGTTAGAAGCGCCTTTCTCTCTGGTTTCCTGCAGACAGAGGTGAGGAGAGTCTTGTAACACACGCTTGTTTGGGTGGGGGGCGGTCATCAGGGGTTGCATGCAGTCACCACTACCCGCTTGAGGGCAGCCGGCCAGCTTTTGGACCTACTCCAGAGAAGGTCCATCTACAGCGTGGCTTGCCGTGGCATGGCGTGTCTAAACTGACAATGGAAATGCAAAGCGGCACGGCATGGCTTTACTCAGTGTGACAATGGATAAAGGGTTTAAGAGTATGTGCGCGAAACTCTAACTATGTATTGCACAGTTTGTCCAAGCAGCAAACTCCGGGGCTGAAAAATGAAGCCAGTGCAGAAGTGCCAAAAACTGCAGTTTGACTGTCTGTGTACCTGCAGGAAATGGATGTGGTCCTCAGTGATTGACAGCTGCTTCACTTCATCCTCTCCCTTCCTCAGTTCAGAGATGTCCTTCTCCAGCCGGTCCACAAATGCCTCAGCTCGGCTCATTGCAGCCTTCACCTGAACTCCGATCAGCTCTTTCATGGCACATCGTCTTTTTTCCGCCATCTGGACAATTTCAGCGAAGGCTTTCTCATTTTGATCAACCGCTGCATCTCCAGAACACTGATGGTACAGACAAAAAATATGAATAATGTCAGTGACCTTAAATGAGAAGGATACAGGACACACTGCATGCATTTAGTACAAGACAACCCACCTGCAGTGCTTTCATGTTCTGTCTCAGCTGTCGCAGCTGCTTCTCTTTTTCCTGTATTCCCTGCTGGTATCTTTGTTTTTTCTTTCCAAATTGTTTCTGAAAATCAAAATTATATCGTGCGGTGTAAAGCAACAGTGTTCCACTTAACAGCCACGTACATTAACATACATTTTCCCAGCTATATAACCCTGACAACTGCAGCAGCACCAGTGTGGCCTAAAACAATTATTCTTACTTGTTTCTCTTTCCTCTCTGCTGCGGCTGAAACAGTGTCATGACCTTTGTGTTCATCCATCACACAGAGCAGACAAATACACTGGCCATCACTGCGACAGTAGACTTCCAGCAGCTTGTCATGCTTGGAGCAGATCTTCTCTCGGATGGAGGCAGACACCTCCACTAACTTGTGCCTTTTGAAAGCAGCAGACTCGTAATGTGGCTGCAAGTGAGTGGCACAGTAAGAAGCCAAACACACCAGGCAAGACTTGACAGCTTTCAGCTTCTTCACAGTGCAGAAATCACACTCCACATCCCCCGGGCCCACTACTTCCTTCTCAGGAGGGGTGGGTGCTTCTGCCTCTGACATTTTCCCTGCCAAATCAGCCAGCACTGTGTTCTTGTTCAACACAGGTCTGGGGATGAAAGTGTGTCTACACTGGGGACAGCTGTAAACACCACGGTGGTCCTCCTGGTTCCAGTAACCATTTATACAGTCCTTACAGTAGCTGTGGCCACAATGCAGAGTCACAGGGCTTCTCAGTATGTCCAAGCATATGGAGCAGGATAAAGTCTCTGCTTCTTTCCAGCTCTCTGCCATCTTCTTCACAGCACCCTTTCGTTTTCTGTGAAACCAAAAGTGGCTGTCAGGCTATATGGGAGTGACTTCATCTCTTACTATGCTTTCTTTTAGAACTAGAAAACTCTCCAAAAATCTAAGGTGAATGTGAACATGCTCCACAAATATATGTGACTGAAGAGTGAACTTTTAAATATGTCTTAACTACTTTAAGAAAAAAAAAAGTTCATTATTCATCAGTGTGGTGAAACACATACCTAGAAAAGTCTTCTAAACGTTTTCTGGTCGTCTCTGACGGGTCCATCGTGGAAGAAGCTCCCTCCACCTGCAGAGGAATGACACTCTTCCTCAATGCACAGACAGTATTGATGTACACTCACTGCCGTCGTCTCCTCTGATAACTAAAAATCTCGCGAACTGCTCAAATCTCGCTTGAAGACTGTCTTGTTTCCTCTGTTGGTGAGTTTCGTTTCCGAGTTTAAATGTTTAAATAAACACACTGGGCCTCATTTCTCCTGAATATCTCTTATAGTTTCTGTTAAGAGAAAAAAATACGAGAATGTTTCATAGTTGTGTTGAATAATGACCACAAATTAGAGGCGCGCGCCCCCCCTGCACTCAGGGCAGGTTTAGTGCCGTGTGCAAATGGTCTGCAAAGATGCCACCATAAAACAAGAAGAACTAATGCAGTGTAAAATCGATGGAGCATACTTATAAATAGACAGAATGAACGTGATTTACTCTTGGTAATATGAAACAGCCCAGCAGATATTCACCCGCCCCATAAACATCTAAAAACAATAATTAAAAACTGAAGGCTGTAGGCTGAGTTACTTTGGTTTATGGCACATTTTGTAGTCTTTGTAAAGGCTTACTGACTTAGTTGACTAAAGCACAGATGCAGGAAAGCCAAAGACACAGTAAAGAGTCCTGTCCTGTGATTTCAAAAAACAACTCGTTTTTTTTTCAGACAATTTCGAAGCTGCAGTGTTCATAATTTAGCACTTCTTGCAGTACTGATGTTCACCATCAGGTGGCGTTGTAAGACAGAAAAGGCCATAATTTGTTTTTTGTGAGCATAGGATGTATATGAGTGAATTATTCTGAGAATAATTTGCAAATCAAATGTAGAATATGCAATAAGTAATATCCCAATAAATCAAATAAATGATGGACACATCATAAGCAAAGCATGCTCCTTTATTTGAGTTATAAAGCTGAAGCAAAGACACTCTTGATTAATGTGTTTGATGATTGAAAATATAGAGAAAGCACAGCAATGGTTATAATCATCAAGGAAAACACATTCTGATCCGAACATACGACAAGATGTGAGACAAAAAAATGAAACCCTGGCACAAGACTAAACAAATGCAGGTTGCATGTTTCAAGCTCTCTTCACAACATAAATCAAACCACAAGTTACTTAGAAACCATTTTTTCAAAGCCATTTTGAAGATACATTTTAGGCTTGAAGGAAGATTATTCCACCAAACAGCATAAAGAACAGAAAAAGAAATATGTTCCAATCATCTTCAATCATTCAAATGAAACTATGTTAAATTCATCAGAAAATACAACAGAATTTTCCTTTTTCCACTTTTTGAGTCGTAATCAAGATTCTCAGTACAAAGTGACTCAATATGTTGCCTGTTAATTGCTGTATTAATCTATGCATACGTATCTCTAACTCATGTATTGAGACAGGTTTACATGTGTAGACTGGTTTACATTTTGCATATTTTCAGTGTTGCTCCCAAATCAACAGAGAACCCAGGATAGAGCCGTTCAGTGAAGGTGGTCCTGACCTGGTGCAGTTGTGTCAGCGTGTCAGACACACTGTAGAAGGCCAGTGTTCCTGCCTTGTAATCCAGATGTATGCCCACTCTGCGGGAGAGAACCGGGGGAATTCGGCCTCTGTAGAGATTGTTGTGCCAAAACGTGCAGCCGGACGAAGTGCAGTTTAATTTCCAGGAAAGATTATTGTGGCCAAAACCGCATTCTTTCCATGAGCCCTTTCTTGCAATGCCTTTGTACGACACTGCCAAATCGACATCGCCACCATCCCACTCCACCTCCCAGTAGTGGATGCCCCTAAGGCCCTTTTTGCACAGAGCCTGGTGAAGGAAGGTGAATCTGTCGGGGTGATCATGATGAGCCTGGTCCCTTTTGCCCCATGATATCTCTCTGTTTTTGTCAGACAAGCAGAGACATGCAGCTACTGTGTTGGGATCCACCTCCACCGTGGAGTCTGCAGGGAAAGATGAGACACTTGTTAACTCTCTGAAGCTTTAATGTATGTTGGTGCTGATATTTATGCAAAGTGAATTACCATCATGCTTACTCTTGTATTTGGTCAAAAAGTATTTCCTTAATGGTATTATCTCACGCATCCTTGGCATTTTTGACACTGATAAAAAGAAAAAAACCTCTGATCATTCTGACAAATAAATGACAGGACTCATGAAGAGGTTAAGAGATCCAAAGTGGTCAAACTTACACCGATTTTCTTCCCAATGACCGAACAATTCTCTCCTTTCTTTGTCACACATATTTTTCAATTCATCTTTCCTTGCAGTGACAAACTCTGACAGCATGTCAAGTCCATCATATGAGTCTGTGAACACAGGGAGGTCACCCAGGGCCTGGAAACTCTGCACAAGGCAAACAAATACATTCTGTTACTAAAAAAATTAAGAGACATGAGATAAAAATTCTATAAACTTCCAAGGGGTCGCAAGATACACCTTAGGTGTTGCAACAGGCTAGGCAATCGGGAAATATAAACATGTCTGATTGAGGAAATTTTGTTCATTTTTCAACACTTTTTTTGAAACATTGACATTGAATTATGTAAAACAATCTGATAAGACAGTTATTGAACTACTCTCAACCCATGGACACACAACTGAATGATGCAAATCTACAATAGCTCAGTTTTAACAGAATGGTTCAAACCTGGAGTTAAATGACAAGATCCATATCAGTCTTATTTTTGTACGGTACAAAGATACAGCCAGGAGACGGTGTGATTTGCTTGAAGCCTGGTGTCTGCTGATATTGATTTCTTTAGGCGGGTCTTTTTAGGTGACTTAAATATGTTTTGCTGCTGCCCCCTACAGCCAATTTAAGAAAGAGTACATGACCCCTATAAAACTATGGAGATATATTTGTGTCTTTATTACATGCGAGAAAATAAATGATATGAGAGGGGAAAAAAATGTTTGAGAGAAAAAGTTTTCACACTGATAGCAAAAAATAATAATATATGAGACTAAAAAAAGTTTTGAGAGAAAGTATTTTGTCATAGAATATAAAAAAAATGAGATTTAAAAAATGATTTCCAAGAAAAAAAAAACTCTCAAAAACCTTTTTTTTTACTCTCAAATATTATTTTTTTGCTATCAGTGTGAAAACATTTTCTCTCTCTCTCAAAAAAAAAACATTGTTTCTCTCAAAACATTTTTCTTCTCTCTCTCTCAAAACCTAAGTCTTTGCTCTCATGTCAGGATTTTGCTCTCACTGTGAAAATAGTGTCATGGGCAGGGCCACGTTCCTATTGGCCAGTCTCAATTGACAGCTAGGTGAGGATCGTCTTGGGAGTCGAATTCAACTGAATCATTCATCCACCATGGTGGATTCACCAGCATAGATGCGCTGCGTTATTTGGGAGCGGAGACTCCAATGTTTGGGTAAGATGATGACACACACAATTGATGGGTAGCTAGCTGAGCAAGTTGGTTATCAAAACCATTCCTATAATGAATCCCTTTTCTCACCTAACGTTATTTTACCGAGATTGTGTTATTAACTGCACTAGTCAGCTAGTGTTAACTTTACATCTAGCTAGGTTATCCCATTAACGTTACTTTACTACGGTGCTTTTCTCTTCCAACATTCCATGTGTGGCAGGGTGAGCGCTGCTACACCTCCGCCCTTAATTAGCATCAGCTGGGTCTAATTTCCAGTTGTCGGAGCGTAATTGCGCAGTGGTGGCACCTGCGTTATTTGGTCTTCCCCTCACGGGTGCGCTCACTTCTACCTGGCGTTTACCTGGCGCGGGCTGTGTGTGGCGTGCTCCGGTTGGCGTGCTTTGTGTGTGTCGTGCTCCGGTTTCTGTACCCAAACTTGGGACTCATAAGGTAGGCATGGGTGCTGCAATGTTTGTGTACTGTTAAAGCGTATTGTGGTGTCACAGCTGCCGTGACTCTTCGCTTTACAGCAGCATTGGCCATTCCTGTTGTGTGCAGCTTCGGGGGGGGACTTTGAAAAGCGTGGTGTCTGCTCTTCCTCACTGCGAGATGGTGACTGGGTTTGAGCTGGGTCAGCTGGACATCCTGAAGGACGGCTATCCACGGCCTCCAGCCCCAGTGCGGCCGCTCCGTTTTCCACTGCTGTTCTAGCAGTTTCACACAGACGGATTAAAGCACACTGTAACGCGGCTGCGCATTAATGCGGCTTTGGACCTCTGTGTTATATTTGGAAGTCCGTGTCCTGTCCCCATATTTACCAGTGTACGAATCTGTGTGACCTTCTGTTGTTAAGAGTAGTCTACAGATTTGAGTGTGTTCCCTGGGGTGCAATTCCACAGGTGGTGTTGTCGGTTCATTTCCCTCTCCTCTCCATTTGGCCACACATGCATAACGTTATACACTGCTCAAAAAAATAAAGGGAACACTAAAATAACACATCCCAGATCTGAATGAATGAAAAATTCTTATTAAATACTTTGTTCTTTACATAGTTGAATGTGCTGACAACAAAATCACACAAAAATTATCAATGGAAATCAAATTTATTAACCCATGGAGGTCTGGATTTGGAGTCACACTCAAAATTAAAGTGGAAAAACACACTACAGGCTGATCCAACTTTGATGTAATGTCCTTAAAACAAGTCAAAATGAGGCTCAGTAGTGTGTGTGGCCTCCACGTGCCTGTATGACCTCCCTACAACGCCTGGGCATGCTCCTGATGAGGTGGCGGATGGTCTCCTGAGGGATCTCCTCCCAGACCTGGACTAAAGCATCCGCCAACTCCTGGACAGTCTGTGGTGCAACGTGGCGTTGGTGGATGGAGCGAGACATGATGTCCCAGATGTGCTCAATTGGATTCAGGTCTGGGGAACGGGCGGGCCAGTCCATAGCATCAATGCCTTCGTCTTGCAGGAACTGCTGACACACTCCAGCCACATGAGGTCTAGCATTGTCTTGCATTAGGAGGAACCCAGGGCCAACCGCACCAGCATATGGTCTCACAATGGGTCTGAGGATCTCATCTCGGTACCTAATGGCAGTCAGGCTACCTCTGGCGAGCACATGGAGGGCTGTGCGGCCCCCCAAAGAAATGCCACCCCACACCATTACTGACCCACTGCCAAACCGGTCATGCTGGAGGATGTTGCAGGCAGCAGAACGTTCTCCGCGGCGTCTCCAGACTCTGTCACGTCTGTCACATGTGCTCAGTGTGAACCTGCTTTCATCTGTGAAGAGCACAGGGCGCCAGTGGCGAATTTGCCAATCTTGGTGTTCTCTGGCAAATGCCAAACGTCCTGCACGGTGTTGGGCTGTAAGCACAACCCCCACCTGTGGACGTCGGGCCCTCATACCACCCTCATGGAGTCTGTTTCTGACCGTTTGAGCAGACACATGCACATTTGTGGCCTGCTGGAGGTCATTTTGCAGGGCTCTGGCAGTGCTCCTCCTGTTCCTCCTTGCACAAAGGCGGAGGTAGCGGTCCTGCTGCTGGGTTGTTGCCCTCCTACGGCCTCCTCCACGTCTCCTGATGTACTGGCCTGTCTCCTGGTAGCGCCTCCATGCTCTGGACACTACGCTGACAGACACAGCAAACCTTCTTGCCACAGCTCGCATTGATGTGCCATCCTGGATGAGCTGCACTACCTGAGCCACTTGTGTGGGTTGTAGACTCCGTCTCATGCTACCACTAGAGTGAAAGCACCGCCAGCATTCAAAAGTGACCAAAACATCAGCCAGAAAGCATAGGAACTGAGAAGTGGTCTGTGGTCACCACCTGCAGAACCACTCCTTTATTGGGGGTGTCTTGCTAATTGCCTATAATTTCCACCTGTTGTCTATTCCATTTGCACAACAGCATGTGAAATTGATTGTCAATCAGTGTTGCTTCTTAAGTGGACAGTTTGATTTCACAGAAGTGTGATTGACTTGGAGTTACATTGTGTTGTTTAAGTGTTCCCTTTATTTTTTTGAGCAGTGTATATGCATATCCGCTCCCAAATAACGCAGCGCATCTATGCTGGTGAATCCACCATGGTGGATGAATGATTCAGTTGAATTCGACTCGCAACACGATCCTCACCTAGCTGTCAATTCGATTGAGACTGGCCAATAGGAATGTGGCCCCGCCCATGACATTATTTTCACAGTGAGAGCAAAATCCTGACACGAGAGCAAAGACTTAGGTTTTGAGAGAGAGAAGAAAAATGTTTTGAGAGAAACAATTTTTTTTTTTGAGAGAAAATGTTTTCACACTAATAGCAAAAAATAATATTTGAGAGTTAAAAAAAAAAGTTTTTTTTAAAGGTTTTTTTTTTTCTTGGAAATCATTTTTTAAATCTCAAATTATTTTTTTAAATTCTATGCCAAAATACTTTCTCTCAAAACTTTTTTTAGTCTCCCCAGTAGTCTCCCCAGTAGGAAACAACTGTTGCCTCACACTGTTCACACCCTTTCCTCTTTTCCAGCACATCTTTGGTGTCAGCAGACTGGGCACTTTGATTATCATGTGTTAGCTTTTTAAGAATAAATACATTTATTGGTCTATAATAGAAACAGGACAGTCATTAATGGATTACACTCACACTTATAGCGTCTGCAGCCTTTGTCACCTCCAACATTTTCCTTTTTAAAGTCAGCCTTCTGTCTGCTATTTCCTGTTTAGTCCGCTCCAGTTTTTTCTGTCGAAAAAAATTATTTTCAGAACCTCGGTGACATTAAAAGGACGGGCAACAAATGACTTCAGCATGGGGCTGAACTTACATACCTTCATTTCTGCACACATTTCTGCTGCCACTGCCACCGTATCATGGCCTCTGTGTTCATCCATCACACACAGCTGGCATATGAACTGCTGATCAGTGTGGCAGTAGATCTCCAGAAGTTTGTCATGATGGCCACAAATGGACAATCCCAGTCGATCAAGTACTGGCTTACTGTATGCCATTTTTCTCCTGCTCAAACTGACAAAGGTATCCCGCTCATTTATTTTTATATTCTCTGAGAGAGGTGTGGCTTGTTGGCAGCTTGTTCTCATTGGCACTGATACTGACTGTGCGGACCGGTCTGTGTGAGTGTCAGTTTAGGAGAAACTACATCACCCCCGTTGACTCTGATTTGACAATGACTTGTCTCTGATAGGTTTCAAACTCTACTTGAGTCAAAGTAATCAAGATTAGTTAAGCATTTTGTATTACACATTGGAGTAGAAATACTTAAATCTTTGTCAATCATTATTTTCATATGAATTAAATGACTATGTACTGCATGGGGTTGCTCGAAGTGATGAACCCACAGAAAATGATCTTACTCTGCAGTCACCTTTTATCTCCACAGAGCATTTGAGCATCTTTTTAGCTGATTGTTGTGGTCAAACCTTCGCTGCCTTGGTTCACCTTCACTGCTTTCATGAACTTTATTTCCAGCTGCAGCAGGTTGCTGTTTTCATTGAAAAAAGGTCTGATAAGCGGTGTGCTTCCTGACCAGCACCAAACAGGAGACAGGCAAAGTTAGCAGTTAGCTGGTGAGAATGAAAATGTGTTAATGCAGTACGCAATGGCTCTTGGGACACTGAGATGAATGGGCAAATACAAAGAATACAGTACACCAGTATCTCACTAGGATTGTTTTCTGTATGTCTGTTTTTTTTACAAACTGATGTGGAAGGATGCCAACAGGCTGTGTGGCACTAGGACCCAAACAAGGGGCAGGTCTCTAAAAATGGGCGGGAAGCAAGCCCGGGCCTTTCTTCCTGAAAAAAGCAGCTTAGGCCAGCCTCTGTTTGGTGTTAGATTTGGTAGGCTCCTTTTCAGAAATATATTTAAAAGCATGATTTCAAATGTAAAACTGTGGATAAATTAATTAAAACTTTGTGAACTAATTGTTAAAAACGTGTGGTTTGTTAGATTCTTCATGTTTTGTGCTTAGGCACATCAGCCAAGAAACAAGTTTTGCCAAAGCAGAATGGTTCCTTATAAACAGGCTACAACTTTATATTGTACATGTTTTCTAATGTATTTATTGGAAAGTTTCTTTTTGTACACTGCTCACAAATTAAGGGAACACTTTATCATCACACGATTTATCCAATCCCTCCTTGATTATGGCTTGCATTTCGGATTTCTACTGAAACTAACTTGCTGCCACCAAGTTGAACTGAGACAAGTCTTATTTCATGCATTGTTAATAAAATCTACATCATTGGCAGAGCAGTCTCTGGCTCCAGTTTATTCTGGGTCTTGTGTATTGAGTATCACCTGGTCGCAATACTAATAACTTGAAAAATGATACTTTATACAAAAATTACATATCTGCTTTAAATCTGTATAATTTCCTGATGAATGTACTCGTTTGCTTGTAGCACAACTAGTGCGCTTCACAAAAGGGCTGATACTAATTTAGCCACTAACATTTATTTGAAATGACAGAACAGGTATTTTATTCTTATTAAGCAAACACCATGAAATGTTATTGCAACAAAATTATAAAGTAGCTAAGGTAAGCTGAGGTGCGAATGGGGGAACTTGTTCCAGATGCATGTACTGGGCTAACAAACCAATGTCCAGTGCGCTTCATCTCTTTGGATTTGGCGATCCATTTATTCTAAAAACAATATTTACATACTAACCAAAACACAGAAGGGTGACAGCATTGTCTAAATGTAATCATTACTCCATTCAGCAATTCAGTTTTACACGCCAGTACTTTGTGCTTTTTAACATGCTTCCACAACACGGTCAAAAACTGTTTGACTGTGCTGTCCCTGCAGGGAGGGACAGCAACAACAACATTAACAACTGTAGTAATAGTAATAATAATAGAGAAATGACTAATAATAACTATAGTTGTGGCTATAATACACTAATATTAATAGTAGCAATGATGGCAATAATGATAATAGAAATATGACTAATGATAACAGTAGCAGCGGGCGTCATGCAGACTGCCGCAGACAAGTGGTAAAAAGTCATGAACAGTAGGCTATGTGTATTGTGTAAAGGCTCAGTCTGGACCAATCTAGGAGGCTGTCATATTCTGATAATTAATGACACACCTGCTCTTCCGGTAATGTTTGGGGTCTGGCAGGTGCTGAGAGGGTTTCCTGTGTGGACTGCTGTGGTACTCAGGTGTCCTGGCTGATCAGCTGGTCCACATCCACTCTCAAGATGACGCAGGAAAGCCAAACACAGTCAAGAGTCAAGTTAAAAACAACTCATCAACTCTTTCAGACACTGCACTTCCTTCTCTAGGTTGACAGACTTAATGATGTTCTAACACATTTTTCCTGTAGACACGATCATCTCTAAATAAACCAACGTTAATCACTACTGTGCAGACCTACATAAAAAAAGCTATGGGTTGTAAAGTTGTCTTAACTTCAGCTGATGTCACATTTTCTACTCTTGTAGTCTTGGTAAAACCTTACATACCTGGATGACTGGAACATGTGACCATCTCTCTCCAGCTCGTCTTGTGGTCAGTCATCCTACTCATCTGGTCAGAAGGACAAATTTCATCTCTCCTAAGGGATGGATGTACTGCAGAAAAAAATGTATGAAATAAAATAAAAATACAACAAAGTGAATAAGCTCAAGAAATCAACTTTCAAAGAACTGATGAGACTTGCAGGATGCTTACGTGAATGGTAATTATTACCTTACCTCTGTCAGATAAAGACATCTACCATAAAACTCTGAATATAAGTCGCACTGGCATATAAGTCGCAGTCTATTTTTTAAGGTCTCAAACAGGGAAAACAAGGTTTTATATTACTATTTGTTAATAAAAACATTATACAAGTTATTCCTACACTGTTTCCCTTTATTTTTAATTTGAAACACATTCAAAACACAATAACCTCTTAGCAGCTTTGGTTACTTTTCAGATTGCAATTTTCCAAACAACCTCTTCAGGAAATAAAATTAATTTAAATAACATCTGAGCCATAAAAATTAGTTTAAATTAACGTTAAACTTCTTTTTTCTTTTTTAAGAAGACAGCATTACAGTACCTTATTACAGTGTGGGCTGTAACTATACATGCTTACTCAAATCCCAAAAACGAATGAGTTTAAATTACTACGTAGCGCCATCTTGTGGGTCAAATTACCT